CAAGCTGCACATGTTTGACCTTTTCTTTTTATTCTTTAAAATAATGAATTTCAGAATCCTTTGTACTGTCAATTTTAAGTGCACATACTTTAAACAATCTTTAAATAAGGTTATCACTAACATTTTTCTAAGCCTTCATGTTGCCACTCTCGGTGTACAATGTGCACTCCACAACAGATTGAGACTTGAATGTATTATGTGCATTCCCCAGGAATTAGTACATCATCAATTTTTGATACTTTCATAGCATTTCAAACTTGATCAGTCATATGGGCATCAAACGTATCCCAAGAAAATAAAAAAAATTTACCTAACACAGTGTGAACCTAGTCATTAATTTGTGATTGATATCAATATTTTTGTCTAATAGCAGCATAACCATTTTCTTTTATTTTATAAATTGTCAAACCAAAATGAAACCATATATTTTTAATCTGTCACACCCCTGTAAGTTGATATAAGCAAATCTCGTACACATTTGGAAGAGGGGTGCCCATTTGAAATTAAAAACATGAACTTCCTCTAGTCAATTAGAATTCAATTATTTCAGTCTAATACAATTTGCTACAGAGATAATAACAAGATTATAACACTTGTAAAACCATTATAAATGTGATGTTGATTGGAAAGACCTGTATTTGCATAAGATGGAAACGAAGTTAAACAAAATATTACCATTTTCTGAACAATAATCATAATGCAATTTTTTTTTTTTTTTTTACAAGTAACAAAATTCAAAAACATCAACTAAAATCAAAACAAAGTTTAATTTTGATGAATGAAAAGTTAAACTGCTGATAGAAGATTAAGCATTTTATAAAATGCTAGGATATTTGATTACTGTCATGTTCATAACATTTATTAAAAAACTTTTTCAGGATGTAGTCAATCATGGCTTCCTAGATTTCTTTGTTATCATCCATGAACTCCTTGGCAAAGACAGTGTAGTGGTTTCCTGTTATCTTCACAGGATTTGAATTCAGATTTTTCCTTCTCCCAAAGAGCCCAAAATATTCTGTCATTTAATCTATAGCTAGTGGGAAAAGAAATGGATTCATGCCTCAAAAGTGAATGCAACAGGCTAGGTCAGAGTTTAAACTCTGGATACTTAAATGAAGTGATTTCAATTTTTTCTAATTCTTCCATATTAATATTTGATAAGAATTTGTGAGTTGGCAAAGCATGTAAAGAGAAAACAAAAACTGTTCTTAAAACACAGGTTGTTAGTGTTGCCAAATAGAAATACTTTGACCATTAGTTTCTAATTTTAGTAAGTTTGTCCTGTTAATATTATTTCAGCCTAATTTATATATGCAAAATAAAATCACTTGAAGTGTCCTGTATTTCAATGTGTCAATATGACAACCTTCTATTTGGAATTTATTATAAACCTGTTTGAATTTAGAAAACTGATTCTAATTAAAAACGAAGTCATAACGCTGAATTTTGTTCCTAGCAGAAAACTAAAGTTTAGTATATTGATTCCTATAGTAGGTCATATCTGCTAGTAAATATAGGTATTTATAATTTGAGAAATAAGTATCTTATATGCAAAAGAATTTTCCTTGTAAATGTAGTATTAAAGTATACAAGGGCTGCTCTGAAAGTAGTGCCTATTTTTATTGTGCTGATCTTATAGTAATAGAGATTGAACCTTTGTGTTAAATAAAATCATTTTTTGGTGCTTTGTTACAAATAGTAAATTGTCAGTGACTCAAGCACGAAAGGAGTGTGCCATTGTAGGAAAAATTCCACATGTTCGCTGAATATTTAAAAAGATCAAATACTAGTAGTAGTCGGTAGCTGCATCCAGTCATATTGCATACTGTATGTCAGTTGTAGCTGCCTTGTAAATAAATTACTTTCGGATCGCCCCTCCATATTTAATTGCGTGTAGTTTTGTCCAAAAATTTAGATGGAGTTATCTGCCCTTACATTACTTGTGAACCATTTGACAATGTAAAAGTTTGAGATTAGTTTTATTCATTTACCTTGCAATTATCCTTTATAATGTATAGATGGTATGTGTGTATCCAGCTAAAAGTAAAAAATTACATAATATACATATCACTTAAGCCAGCTTAAAAAAAAAAAAAAATTGTACGATTTGTATTGACAAAGATATTTTAAAATTAAAATGCATTAAAGATTCTCAGAATTAAAGTTAAAACTAATAATTTTTATTCTCAATTATGACCACCGTGTATGTTTACTATTTTTATTCTATTGATAGTTCTGAAACGCTATACATGTATGCATTTCTTAAATTTCTATTCTAGAGTTTATTTTCACATCTATAGTAAAAAGTAACTTTAAAATATTAAATACAATTATTTGACAAATTTTAATATTTAATTCAAATATAAATGTGTGTCCAACTACAAAATAAATATAGACTCAGTATCACCCCTAAAGGGCAGTTGTCTGTATGTGCATTATTGACTTATTTTTTTGGCCATGTTATGGAAATTTTTTTTTTTTTAGTGTGTAACATAAAAAATAAATTTCAAATTAGGCTTTTGCTTTAATAAATCAGTTTCTTTTTGAAAATTTTGAAATTCAAAATATTCAACACAATGTTGACCTATAAGTAATGTCAGTCTAATTTTTTTTTCTTCAAATACAAATAGTTGAAATTTAAATTGCTTTACAAAACTAAATATAAAAAAAAAAAAAAAAAAAAAAAAATTTAATTCCCATCCAAAAATAGTAATTATTTTCAAAGGTTATATTTTTATGTTTAAAATATCTTAATTTAAATTGACTTTTATTAATAATTTGAAAAAAGTTACTGAACTTTTATCTGTTTGAAAATATTAACAGTATTTATGTTACTAGTCAAATTGAAAGTCTTGACTAAAAAAAAATATGGGATGCTTCCTGTTGCCAGTGTGGTATTTTCCTAAATTTAGTTTTGTAAAAAATAATTTTTTTTTTTTAAGATTGAATAAAAAATTATTTTCCATAAGATGGCTGAAAAAAATATTTAACTATTATTCAGAGATCTTCCATGTCATCAAGCAGATTTAGAATAAAATAATTGAAAGTGGATTAACAAAAAAATTTAAGTACATCCGTTAAAGAACTGCTTAGTACAGTTCAGTTTTTTTATATAATCTATAGCTTTTATTTACTATAAAGTATAAGAATTGCAGTCGCAGTCTACAGTAGATATTCTTTTGTTGAAAAATTCAGAATGTCAACATACAAACCAGAAGGTTGACATTTTCTAAAACTTAGTTACAAGGAGCAAATTGATAACATTTTAAAGAATTTTAAGTTACTGCTGAAATGTAAAAGTCTTTAGTTATTTTAAAACTGATTTTTGATTCAAAGAAATTCCATGCTGTAATTAGTCTAAAAATTAAATTATATAAAACTTTGTAAATATACAAATTTTTGAATTTCAGTCAGTCATTGTGAAAACCTGAATGTTTCCATCCAAATGTTATGTCCCTTTAGACAATCATGATTGTCTAGATTTATGAATTGCCAAGGTTTTGTTCACCTTCTCTAGTGAACAAGCCCATTTATGAGGTTTAGTACCCCCCCCCCAGAAATAATTAACATTTAAAAAAAAAACAAACAAACTTAATGGGGGCGTCAAACATTTTATGGCCACTATTTCTTTTTGCAAGAATAGGTGTAATACAAGTAGAATTGTAGAATATATGAATCTAGGAAAAAAGCTAATACTTTTATTTTTTTTTCAAATTTAAGGAAAACGAATTTAGTGTACATGCTAATAAAAACGCATTCTATTTCAATATTTCTGTATACTTCAGCAGAGAGCATTTGAGGTAAGTTATGAAAATAGATTTTGTATAAAATAACCTACTAGATAAGTTGTTTTTCTTGCACAATTCAGATATATATATACTCAGCACTACTGATGTCTTCAATGAAACTTTGGCCGCTATTCATTTACAAAATGTATTGCTTTATGTAGTCATTTGTATAGAATAAAGGGGGGAGAAAAAACTGCAGAAAAGCCACCAATTATTTTTTCATCTAAAATATCCTTGCTGTAAGAGTGAAGTCAAACTGAATTCTATTAAGGAATTTAACATTCAAAATTTGGTATCATTAAATATTTTATATGACTAAATATTATGAGCTAATTACCATTACTTTTGAAAGGGGGAAATGGAGTGATTTTGACAATGACCAACTCAAGGAAAAGTCAGATTGTGACCCCAAAGCAACTTGCCATTTACAGGCAAAAATTAAGATACAAGCAGAGGTACTGGTCAATATCCACCTAATAAATGTTAATTTATTTTCAGACCTTTCAAAATATTACTTGGTAGGCACAATTTTTCAAATTAAAGATAAAAAAAACTTACCTGCAAGAATAAAACTGAAGTACTCACAACATGAAGAGGTGATTTAGAAAAAAAATTGTTTGCATCAGTCCAACTGCTGTAACACAAGTTATCCTTGAAGCTATGAACATGAATGCCATTTTAAAGTTTTGTTTGTTTATGCTCTGCCTTATGGAATTTTGGTAGAGGGGAATCGGTTATAGTTAATGGTCAGCAGAAAAATCATTGCCCGATTGAACTAATTCCAAACTTGCTTATTGGATGCATTAACAGATAACTACAGCCATGTGTCACCAAGTTTAAAATTTTCATAACTTCAAACAGGCTCAGGTTATCTATTTGCATCCAAGTTTTCTGAATATGCTAAATTCATACAGTAGCAAAAAAAAAAATAGTGACACATGTAGCCAGATACAGCCAAGTGGACATTTTATATGCAAAAAACTTAATTTCAAAACGCTGCAAAGAATACTAATTGTACAGAGCAATCTCATACAGTATCAAAGAGAAAAAGAAAAAACAGACAAAAGAAAAACAATTTTGCTTATTTTATTTCATAAAAAAAAAATTTAAGAGACTTGTTTTTGGCCTTTCACTGTTTGGGTTTTCAAGACAACAGAAGAAAGTTCTAAAATATTTATTTTGTTTTTTTTCAGGTTCCATTTTGAGAGTAGCTTAATATTCTTCACCTTCCTCTTCTTCCTCAGCCTCTACTGAATCAATACCAACTTCTTCATAATCTTTTTCAAGGGCAGCCAAATCTTCACGAGCTTCAGAAAATTCACCTTCTTCCATACCTTCTCCCACATACCAGTGCACAAACGCACGTTTAGCATACATGAGATCAAATTTGTGATCTAATCTGGCCCAGGCTTCAGCAATGGCTGTGGTGTTGCTCAACATGCAGACAGCACGTTGCACTTTAGCCAAATCGCCTCCAGGAACAACTGTTGGTGGTTGGTAATTGATACCAACTTTGAAACCAGTGGGACACCAATCCACAAACTGGATGCTACGCTTGGTCTTGATAGCTGCAATAGCTGCGTTGACATCTTTAGGGACAACATCACCACGATATAACATACAACATGCCATGTATTTGCCATGACGTGGATCACACTTCACCATCTGGTTAGATGGCTCAAAACAGGCATTCGTAACTTCGGCGACTGTGAGCTGTTCATGGTAAGCTTTCTCGGCAGAGATGATTGGTGAGTAGGTAGCCAGTGGGAAGTGGATCCTAGGATAGGGTACCAAGTTGGTCTGGAATTCTGTCAGATCAACATTAAGAGCACCATCAAAACGAAGAGATGCGGTGATCGAACTTACTACCTGAGCAATGAGGCGGTTCAAGTTGGTGTACGAAGGACGCTCAATGTCCAAATTTCTGCGGCAGATATCATAGATAGCTTCGTTATCAACCATAAAAGCACAATCGGAATGCTCGAGAGTTGTGTGAGTGGTGAGAATAGAGTTGTAGGGCTCAACAACAGCAGTGGCTACTTGAGGAGCTGGGTAAATGGAAAATTCAAGTTTGGATTTTTTGCCATAGTCAACACTAAGTCGTTCCATGAGGAGAGAGGTGAAACCAGAGCCTGTGCCACCACCGAAACTGTGGAAAATAAGGAAACCTTGCAGTCCAGTACATTGGTCAGCAAGTTTGCGAATTCTGTCCAAGACCAGATCAACAATTTCCTTGCCAATAGTGTAGTGACCTCTAGCATAGTTGTTGGCAGCATCTTCTTTTCCTGTAATGAGTTGTTCAGGGTGGAAGAGTTGTCTGTAGGTGCCAGTACGAACCTCATCTGAAATATAAGGAGTTTGTATTAATAGTTTATCAGAAATTTTTATTTGGCTAGACTATCTTATCAGGCAGAGGTAGAACAGTTGACTTGACGGAAAAAGTCCAAGTGATGGAATATAACTTATTCTTTTATCATTTGTAAGTGTTCTTTGTAGTCGTTTTACGCCACCATAATTAGATCAGTACCATTCAAACTGTGGGCCTCTATTTTTTCTAATATATAGACTTTTCTCCGTTAAGGTTTGCTTTGGCAAATCAGTTATATTTATAATATTCATTTTCAGAAATTACCAACGCGGAGAGGGAATTTAAGTCAAGTGGTTAAAAAAAAAAAAAAAAAAAAAAAATATGGGGAACTAGCGCAGATAGGAAATAAGCTTCCGGCTTAGATTCAGTTTTTTTTTTTTATCTATCATCATCAGTAAAAAAAAAAATTATCGAAGTAGATTAGAAATAAGATTTACAAAAAAGTTTGGACATAATTGTAACCAAATGCAATAATGTGGACGAAAAAAAAAAAAAAAAAAATCGAATGTCTGGCAAAAAAAAAAAAAAAAAAAAAAGTCGCCGATGGATGATCGGTAATTTGTAGATCAATTATATTAATGGTTCAGCAGTTAAGAAAAACATTTGATAACGGCTAAGGAGATCAACATTTTTCTAGTTAAAAAAAAAAAAAAAAAAAAAAATTATGGGAAGAAAAAAAAAAATAAAACATTGATATCTAAAAAGAATTAAACCAATAGAAAGTGATTGAAAATGCAGAAAAATGAGTCAATAAATGTAAAAAAATCGGTTATTGACAGCCATGCAAGTTGGCGCGGAAATGAAATTCTAACCGCCATCTGGAGGAAGAGAGAAAAGAAAAAAAATTTCTTTCAATCCTTTACACATCAGAGCCATCTTCCATTTTTGGGGCTACAACATTAAGTCGCAGTTTAAGTTAAGATAAAAGGTATTGTTCGAAAAGATGATTTAATTAAAATAAAACAGATTTTTAAAATAAAAGTCTGTTTGAGTCCATACAAAGTTAGGAGAGAAATGGTTTAAGGAGCGGCAAGATATTCAGAACATTGTAAACGTAAATTACATGTATTATCGTCATCAATATCTATGCATCTAGAACATTAAAAGGTTTTTGTCAAATGAGTGAACAGAATAATCGCCCAGAAAAGGTTATGATAAATAGATATTTTTACGATTGAAAAATTTTGCGCTAACACTAGAGGCAAACATTAATTCAAAAGATTAAATGCTTCATTAAACTAGTTAATAATACTGACAAATAAGAATTTTATCGTTATTAAGAATCAAGAAAACGTAGACAAATCTTTCGTAAGACATTTGAGGAAAGACAAAAACGATAGAAATAAGAGAGAGTACCGAGCATAGGATATTGACGCAGATATGAATGAAACATTCATGTCGAAATAAGAATTTGATTTAACTGCAGATTATAGTTCCGCGTAATGTTAAGGACTTTAAATATACAAAAAAGCTAATAATTTAGATCACAAGATCTGTTTTGAAGGTCATCAGATTTTTTTTTTCTAGAAAACTGCTATAGAAGAAACTGGTTATGACGCCATAAACGAATTTGCGACTCAAGTGTATTCGTCTCATGAGGAAGAAAATGACAAATACAAGAAAAAAAGAATGTAAAGATATAACTAGGAATTTAGCATATCTTTTCATAGAAAAGAATTTTTTTTTTTACTTACCTACAACAGTAGGTTCTAAGTCAACGAATACAGCTCTGGGTACGTGTTTGCCAGCTCCAGTCTCGCTGAAGAAGGTGTTGAAAGAGTCATCACCACCGCCAACGGTTTTATCAGACGGCATCTGGCCATTGGGCTGGATGCCATGTTCCAGACAATACAATTCCCAACAGGCGTTACCGATCTGGACACCAGCCTGACCAACATGGATACTGATACACTCACGCTAAATAAAAAGAAAGAAACATTAATTAATTTGAAGTTAAAGAAATTGATTTAAACAATTTTAAAGGAAAAATAGCTTAAATTACGAAGACGATATGAAGTTGTAAAACTGCTGGACAGCAAATTTTATGTTAAGATCATGAGTAGAGGGAGGGAGTTTAAAAATTTCTTACAATGGACTTGAAAAAAATCAAGCCAAGACTTTCTGAATCTTAATCCTTCTAATATTTTAAAGTGAGCTTAAAAAACAACATTCAGATAAAAAAAATATTAAGAAAGACTTACCATATTGATTTCTTTTTAAATATGTGAAGAGGAAAAATTTGAAACTAATTTGCCCGTAGATTTAGCTCACGCAGATATAATGTATCGTAGTGAGACAAGAAGCTACTCTGTTTGTCACAGGTGCCCGTTAGTTTGTTATATAAGCAATATACGGGCACTTGAATCATACATTAAGAAAATCGCCTTCCAATTGGTTGATTCTAATTTCCCAGCACGCTGATTGGTCCATTTATAAATTTTGAACTTAACTCAGTAGCATTAACGTATACGTTAGCATATCCTACTTCTCCCCTCCCACCATTTCACCGATCCCCCTCTTTCCTCTATCTTTCTACAACGAATAAATGTTAGAAAGATGGAATAGCATAAATGTTTATTTCTTCCACCCACACTCAACCACCAGAAATTTAGGCGAACGTAGCGGTCGGAAGAACAAACTGCGTTATCCCACCTGACGAATGTTGAATGACGTATCGCATATAGAAAGAAATAGTGTTTTTAACAATAAAAAAAAAATGTCTTCTTTTAATGATGCAAGTAGTAAAGAGAACAGACAACCAGTGAAATTTAGCTTTCTTTTTAAAGCATAGAAAGAAGAAATAATTATTGTTGCAATAATCAATCAATAATCCTAAGTGAATCAATTTACAATACATTTGTTGAGAAATTTACAATACAGATGTTGAGAAATTATTACCAACTTAAAATTTATTTTTAAAACTTCAATATGAAAAAAAAAAAATTAAAAAGAAAATTCGAACTTTATACTGCAGCTACGTACTTTGTTGTTTTTTTTTTTTTCTTCATTTTTTTATTTTACTTCCCTTTTCTTGAAAAGTCAATGTACAAGTTAATAATGTCGAGAGGAAAAACCGCTCTAATATTTCCGTTTTATTTTGCCGCATTCTTTCAATTAAAATTTAACTGAAAAAATAAAAAGCTTATCCGAATATTTCATTTAAACTGGTTATTCAAATAAAAAAAAATCCTTTACATTTTTTTTTTTTTTGCGTGTGTAATTATTATTTATTCAAAACTAGGGAAGAAAATGAGATTTTTTTTATTATTTTATTTCTTGGTAAACAAATAATTTTAAATAAATAAGTTTTTATTTTAATTTTTAATAAATAAGTTTTTATTAAAAAAAATAAAAAATAAATTTTTAAATAAATAAGTTTTTATTTTAATTTTAAAAATTAAAATAAAAACTTATTTATTTAAAATTTAAATAAATAAGTTTTTATGGACAGGAAATAACGCCACATACACATGCTGATGGTGTTTCATAAATTGTGCATTTTTTGTATTTTAAATTAATTTTCAAAATTACAACTTCACGTAAATGGTGAATGAATTGTAAAAAATGTTTCTAGGCATGCAAATGATTTAGTAACTATTTATTTTACATATTTTAAATCATCAAAGTGATTAAAATTTTAATGATTTTTATTTTTCAGCAGTTTTTTTTTTATCATAGGTAAGATAAACATAATTCACTATAATAAAATGTTAGTATGTAAAAAAATATTCAACCAAATGATATATTTGAAGAACACAACTAGATTTGATTTAAATTGTATTGTTCTACATGTTTTTTATTTTATCTATCTATATCAGGAAAGCATTCGTTTATACTGTAATGTAAAATAAAGGCAGCACTCTCTTTGGTCCTCTTTGGTCAAAATTCAGTCCTTTGGTGTTGAGAATGGAGTGACCTCTCCAGGGTGATGGCATATTGAGGTAGATCACATCCCCACCTCCCTTGGTCCACACCGGATAAGATCCAAAGGAATCTGCTTATCACAAGGGCAAATATTCCACAAGATTAATTTTATGTGAAGCTCTAAAACATAAGCATGTGGGTAGAGGCAAAAATTAGCCTGTGCCAACAAGAGCCTTAAGACAAGTTATGACTCTCCTCTTAGTGCAATAGGAAGGTGCTTCACCAGAATTGAAATTTCCAGGGACCAGGCATGGCGGCTTCAATTTTATGCCCTACCTTTCCTGAAGGAAGACAAGGCTCATCTCACCCCATAAGGATCAGTAGTCAATAAATGTACTTCTATATTAACAAAAATATTGGTTATCTTACTTGAGAGTAGAAAATCTGAAATTCTTTCTTTACCGTTGGATTATTTTTTATTAAAAATGTTATTAGCAAGCTTTGAACCTTAAACCTAAGAAATACAAATGTAGTTGAGCTGATGATATCAGACTCGGGCCATTAATGGGCTTATTACAATCTTGTTGGTACTAAAACTTATTTATTGGTTACGAAAAAAATCCAGACAATTTATTAACTTTTGTAGAAAGAAAAAAAGTAATAACATGCTGAAAAATATGTCTGGATCAAAGTAAAAAATACACACTCTCTAGAGTGATGAAACTGTCAAGAAAATATTTATGTATTAATGGATATCCAATATAAAATATCTCATATTTCTATCAGTGACAAAAGTTCAGTTTAAGTAAGTAAACTTTTAAAAGTTAAAAAAATTCATAAAATTATATATATATATATATATATATATATATATAAATGAACATTGAAGTCAACATTCAAAGGCGACTGACTGTTTCATGCTAGATGCAATCATCAGGCCTGATGATTGCATCTAGCATGAAACAGTCTGTTGCCTCTGAGTGTTGACTTCAATGTTCACTTTTATATTTACATACATATATCACATATACATACATATATATGTCATATATATATATATATATATATGACAAAGAGGAAAAATTTTCTTGTGATGCATTTTGTCTTTTCTAAATTTGTTATGCTAATGTGATTACGCATGTGCACAAATGAGGGATGCTGGCAATTTATAAAAAAAAAATTTAAATTTAAAATTCCCAGCACTCCTCTTTCATGTGCATTTGTAGTCGCATGAACATAATAAATGAAGTCCTAAAGGATAAAACATGTCACAAGAAAACTTTTTTACATTTTGTCATGCATTTTTCACCAATATATATATATATATATATATATATATATATATATATATATAATAGTCCCATTCTGTCAACTAGGTCTGCGTTAATTCCTGACAGCTGTTAATTCATTTTTTTTTCTGATTTTCAAGGAATTATATAAAACTTGAATGCTTAAATTTGCTGAAACAAATTTTATTCAAATATTACCAAATTTAGCATTTAATATTCAAATATATTTATTTTATTACAACCATATTTATTTATTTATTTACTGCAGAACTTGAGCAAGGATAAACAGTTGAGTATTAGTCTTCTGGGAAAGTCACTGGGTAACAATAAAAATGCCAACACCATACTTACCTATATATGATTTGTTCAAATCTAGTCAAAATACAACCATGGTTATGTCACTATAATTATAGAGTGAATGAAAGTTTTAACCTATTTAAGTAATAATTATAATACATTTCTATAAATGCTTTTGGTATTTGCTATATTACTATATCCATAATCATTAGATTGAATGAGAGTTTTAATATATTTGATATCAAGAATTATTTGTAGTGAGTTGTGATAAAAAATAAACAAATAAAAAAATATAAAAATGAAATATATATAAACAAAAATAAAAAGAATTCAAATTGAAATAATGCATTTGCACTTTCCTTTAAAACCCATATCTCTGCTGTCCTCCTGGTTCTAGTCCAGATGTGTCAGCTTATATACTTTTGACCAGGCTTACAGTTTCTGGCATGAACATTGGTTTTGGCTAATATCATGTCTCCTTATGTCAATTCTTTTGATTAGTCCAAATTATTTTATCTTTCCTTTCATTTTTATTTTTTCTATAATGGAACTTATATGTGGAGCCTCCCTGATTTTTGGTATTTTTCAATCACAAATAAGTAGGCTCTGCTCCTGCAAAATTCTGTTGTTTTTCAACCAGGTTTAGTCATTCCTTCTTTTTTTTTCAGGGTTGGCTTCTCATTACATGAAAGAAGTATAGAAAAATGAGTTTAAAGAGAGAGAGAGAGAGAGAAAGAAAGGGAGAAGGGTTTTAAAAGAAAGCACAAATGCTTTATTTTCATTTGAATTCTTTTTATTTTTGTTTATATATTTTATTTTTATATTATATTTTATTTGTTTTTTTATCAGCACTCACTATAATATAAACAACTAGTTTATTAAATAAAGGATGAAATTAACTCCTAAAATCATGTCTGTAAATAACAGATATTTGATGACTAAAATAAGGTTGATTTTGTTAATATTTAAATGCCTATCCTCAGAAAATTGATTTTTAGGACTTTACTAGAGAATTTTGCCAAAACTTTATGCTTCTACAGCAATGAAAAAGTTCAGAAATGTATCTTCTGTATATAGATTCTGCAACATCAGTTCCAGTTGCATTAGAAAAATATTAAAATTAGAAAATGATTTTAGGACAAATCAGGATCATTCCCATGCATTTGAAAAACACAACTTGATCCACTCTCAACATAAGAAGATGGTTCTAATCAGCCATATGAGACAGAGAGGGACATTCCTTAAGTACAGTCACTCTGTTTCAACTAAGTCATACATACTGTCTCCCACCAATTACTGAAGAATTCTCTATAATTCAGGCAAACTGACACTAAGACTGACAATTCACACACACTGACATTAAAACGTTTCTTAACAGACATTGAAACAATTTATTCACACACTTACGCAATAAATTATGTCACACAAAAAATTTTATTAACTGAATTCATGATATCATATACACATACATTTACAAACTTTGTATATAAAAATTTAGCCATATATATATATATATATATATGTATATTTGGTTGGATTGATGTGAGTTTGTGACCCTGGGTTTCATGCTTTTGCGATCGTCAGACAAACTGATTAATTTTTAAAAAATTTTGGGTTTATGTAGATTGTGTGTATTGGTGTTATTATGGGAGTAGGGCGGAATCATTGTCGTGATGTCACTCATGCTAACGCAAACATCAATGTATGTCCGTACACCCGATGAGGTACGCAGGCACACATACACATTCGCTCGG